TGGTGAGCCCGACGTGAACACTTATCCCGACCAATAACAAGTACTGAATTGGTGAGCCTGTTCCATTTTATATTTGCATATTATTTTCATTTCTATCCATTTACCACACTTTTTCACGTCCGACCATACTCCCAAGCTTATTCTTATTAAGCCGACTACAAAACGATCTAACCCGCGCCATATTGGCCAGACAATGCAGAAACATGGTTTCCGTACGCCGAGGCCGATTTTCGAGAACAGGGCGTCTCAGACTCTCATTCTCGGTTTCTTGCCGTCACACGTTCACTACCGCGAGAATTGAACAGACACGTTGCAGCACACATGTTTACTCCTGAAGTAAGTGATCGTTATGCACTTCTCAAGGTCGAAGAAGAAAAGCGATCTCACAGATCGCCAGCTCCTAGACGAATTGCTTCGTAACATTGAGCTAGGCAGCCACTCGGCTACTGAAGTCCTCACATGAATGCGAGAGATTATGGGTGCGCGAACATTCAACGATGGCCTTTTCCGGGAACTATTTCTCTCAAAACTACCAAAGCCGGTGCAAGCCGTGCTAGTGACACTGCAGTCAGTCCCACTGGATGACCTGGCAGCTTCGGCAGATGAAATACTGGAGATTTCTAGCAGACCTGTCTCCAACGTATATTCTGTCTGCGACAAACAGGGAGCCGGGATTCAGAGGTGACAAAGCTGTATAACCCTGTGAAACAGTTGCTACGATCTCGAAGTCCTAGTTTACGTAGCACTTCACAGAAACGCACCTTGGCGCATCGCAGCAGCTCACGTGGTTGCCCCAAAACCAAACTTAAAAGGGCAGAAAACCCGGAACGGTGTTGGTTTTATAGTACTCACGGAGACGAAGCCAGAAAATGTTGGAGTTTTAACGAGGGCACCAACCCAGAAAATGGCCACGCCGGCACGTGTTCACGGCAACCGTAGCCGACGGAAGCAGCCGTTCGCTGTACGTCACAGATATTAGAACGAAAGTTCGCTACCTCGTCGACACCGGCGCAGGAGTTAGCATTCTTCCCGCGCCGACAAAGGGGCGTCATCTTGACCCATCTTTCAATCTGCAGGCAGCCAACGGCAAGGCAAACGCGACATTTGGGAGACGGTATGCCTACCTCAACTTAGGTTTACGTAAATCTATCTACTGAAATTCTCCTCCTTGCTGACGTCTCTATGCCCATCATTGGCATAGATTTGCTAAACCATTACGATCTACTGGTAGATGCTCGCCATCGACGTCTGGTAGATAACAATACAAAGTTATCTGTTTGCGGCACCACCTGCGCAGGTCCGAGTTTAACCATCGTTTGAACTGAACAACCAGGCGACGTGTACTAGGGAAATTAGGGAAACTTCCAGAGTTACAACGACCAAGACATAGTCTTCCGTGCATAGCCATCATTACGCATCACGTCACAACCACAGGCCCGCCTGCAGCATCCAAAGCACGGCGTCTAGCCCCTGATAAGCTGACAAATGCGAAGAGTGAATTCGACCGCATGCGCGAACTGGGCATTATCAAATCGTCAAACAGTCCTTGTGCATCACCACTGCATATAGTTCCCAAAAAAGATAGCAACGACTGGCATCCAACCGATGGCTACCTAAGGCTTAACGCCCAAACAACACCGGACTGCTACCCGATACCTGACGTTTACGATCTGACTGCGGAAAGAACATTTTCTCCAAAATTGATTTGGTCAAAGAGTACTATCAGATACCTATGGCAGCAGAAGATATTGCAAAAACAGCTATTATTACTCCCTTTGGCCTGTTTGAATTCCTGCGCATGCCATTCGGTCTTCGTAATGCAGCACAAACCTTCCAATGCTTTGTGAATGATTTCTTCCTTGGTTTAAGTATTTATTGTCCACGTCTACATCGATGACTGTCTAAATGCGAGTCCAGATATGAAAACTCACCTCAAACATTTGGACCTCGTATTCGAAAGACTAAAAAAACATGGCATCACAGTCAACTTACAGAAGTGTGAAATAGGAGTTGAATCACTCAGCTTCCTTGGGCATACCATTGACAACAAAGGTATACGCCCATTGAGAGATAAAGTGGCGGCTATCACAAACTATCCAGAGCCGACCACTGTGAAACATCTCCGCACTTTCAATGGCCTGGTAAGTTATTACCGAAGGTTTATCCCTAACTGTGCCTCTGTCATGAGACCACTCACAGATCTACTTCGAGGAACTGCGAAGTTCGTGTCTCTGGACAACGCGGCTAGACTTGCTTTCTCTAAAGTCAAGGAAGCCATTTCGAACGCAACCATGCTTATGCATCATGACCCCAATGCTCCTTTGAGTATTGCTGTTGATGCATCTGATTCAGCAATTGGAGCAGTTTTGCAACAGTTGACTGACAACCAGTGGCAACCGTTAGCCTTTTTCTCGAGGCGGCTGCAAGACGCGGAAACAAGATACAGTACATTTGGTAGGGAACTCCTAGCCATGTACTGTTCTGTACGCCATTTTCGACATTCTGTGGAAGGTCGTGATTTCATTATTTTCACAGACCACAAACCGTTAACCTTTTCCCTCAGCTCGGCGTCTGACAAATACTCCCCTCGTGAGTCGCGACAGCTGGATTACATTTCCCAGTTCACGTCAGACATCCGCCACATTTCTGGAGCAAACAACTCCGCAGCCGACGCACTATCTCGAATAGCTTCGATAAACTATATCGAGGGTATTGATCTCGTTGAACTAGCTCGGCGTCAAAAGGAAGACCTTGAGCTGCATCACGAGTTGTCGTCCACAACTCTCAAACTGCGACTTTGTCCTGTTGGATCAGACAAGGATGCAATTTTGTGCGATGTCTCTGCTAGTCAACCACGCCCAATAGTTCCGAAGAGTTGTCGACGCAACGTCTTCAATACGTTGCACAAACTCTCTCATCCAGGTGTACGAGCCACCATTAGGCTTATCGCACAACGTTTCTGCTGGCCTGGGATGAACAAAGACGTTAAGGAGTGGGCCCAGTCGTGCTTAGCTTGTCAAAAGTGTAAAGTCACGCGACACACGAAAAGCCCTTTAGGCTCATTTCTAGCCCCAGACATGCGTTTCGACCACGTCCATATAGATATTGTAGGACCCCTACCAGAATCTAATGGATGTGCTTGCAATTTCATTTGCGTCAATCATTTCACAAGATGGCCGGAAGCAGTACCTATTAAGGATATTACTGCTGAAACAGTTGCTCGTGTTTTCTTCGAAAGATGGATCGCGAACTTTGGACGTCCATCTTACGTCACAACCGACTGAGGGCGTCAATTCGAGTGTGGATTATTTCAGGCTGTAACTGCACTTTTAGGTTGCACTCAGCTTCGAGTGACAGCCTACCATCCACAAGCTAATGGCATGGTAGAGCTTTTCCATCGACAGCTGAAAGATTCCCTTTCAGCTGCAAACACCTTAGTGGACCGAGGCTCTGCCTTTAGTCTCGTTAAGTATTTGTAACACGTTGAAAGTTGATGCTGGATGCTCCCCTGCGGAACTCGTCTATGGACCACTCTTCGCCTACCAGGTGAACTTGTATCCCCTTCAATAGTCTAACATGTTTCCGACAGGGCACCTTACGTGGCCAGGCTTACAAACGCAATGCGTTCAGTTAAGTCCTCTCCGGTTAGACCTCAGACGGCCGATGTCTCCGTTCACACCAGTTTACGAAGGACATCACACGTGTTCATTCACCACGACCCCGTTCATCGACCACTTGAACCACCCAACGATGGACTATTCAAAGTAATCAAGTGACACGAGAAATTCTATATAATCGAGCGAAACGGACGTGAAGATACTGTCAGTATCGACCGTTTGAAACCAGCTTATTTCGAAGGCAACCCCATTATAAGTGACATTTCAGCTCATTATAGCCGACCGACGGATAGCCCAATTATCGAGATTCTTGACGATGTGCTTGGTAACGCACAGTTACAACAACCATCGGCGAAACAGAAAACACGATCAGGTCGAACCGTCAGATTCTTGGAGTATTTAAAGTCGTATTCAATTTAGTAGTGTGAAATAAGGTGTGCCAACCATTTTTTTTAATCCAAGATTTTTTTCGGGGCACTATTTTCCTCATATACCGGCAATGCGCAAATCCTCTTACATTTTGCCTTTTTATGTCATTTTTTTTACTTCTACTACGTAATGAAACATTTTTTTAAAAAAAGCGTAAACTTTATTTCGATATATTTATATACAAATAATTTCCATTTTTAGGAAACGTTTTCGTGGTATTAAAGACTTTTATTTATATTCCAGGTGCAACGAGCACTGGACGGAACGTCGAAAGGAACAGATGACCGCGACCGACGTACAATTTCATTTATTGTATTTTATTTATTTAATTGCCACGACACCCTAGAATAAGTTCAGACAACCAGGGGCCACTTCACGCAGTGAACCCATCGGAAGAGTTTTACCAGTAGAGAAACCACCGGGTTTTTACTTCCGGCTGGTATCGTCTTAGGGTCCTTACGAACCCACTAAGGGGGGGGAGTGGTCTGTAGCGTCGCACACTTCCCCAAAATCAAAAGCCTAGGGTTCGACAACATTCAACATTGGTGCTGACCTTGATAGTCTAACTGGACTCGCTGAGCTGAAGACACCCGGTCAAGCATCCTCGCCACTTGACACGCTGTCGTGTTACGTTGCACTTCTAGTATTCGACTCTCTAGCCAGTTAGTTGGAACGCATCGGTATTTTGGCACAACCACAAAAATATACTATTCCATCCGACTACGCTATCGTGTTCTTCCTTGGTCTCGTATTCGTGGGTATTTAACAAGTTCGAATAATCAGCGATCGGTCTTTGCATCTGTCAAGTTCGCACGAAGACAAATGCTAAACCACCAACCCGGTAACGTTTTATTTAGGCATAAGACAGAAGTTGTGTTGATCAGGGACCAATACAGGCTGTTCACTCGTTCATATTTACGAACTTCAATCGTAACACGTATTGGATACTGAGCGCCTAAGTTGGGTCTTTTCGACTCTCAAGGTCTATTATCTCATGGGTACGCTTCGCCTTTTTAGATTCAGAGTTTCTCGTCGTTTCCACAACAAGAATAAAATCTTTAAGTTAATCTGTCTAGTTATATAGAAAACACAATGCCTGCATTGGACATGTGCGCTTGTATACTCGTACATTGTCAGTGACCCCTTCTCTTCATGGGATAAAAGTTACACTGTTGGAATTTTATTAGTTGTCGCGATTGAGTGTTTTTTGAGTATTAACAGGCTGGTTGTCAAAGACGCTACCAAACCTACCTAATAAGATTTTGCATCACTGTGAGAGTTAGTTGGGGACTGGTTAATCACGAGTTAGTTGTCGGAAGTTTGCGTGTTGTTACCCGGCGAATAACAGTGTCATTTCATAGAGTTAACGGGGTCTTAGAGTTACTTCAGTGTTAAAATCATCAATGGTATCCCACAGGTTTGTAGTTGTTTATCCCTATAATTTGATATTATGTGCTCAACATATTTCTAGAGGAAAGATACACTGGCCATACATATAGTTTTGCTCATAACGGCTGCACTTGGTTGTTTCTCATTGCGTGGTACCAAGTTATTAGCAGTTTCATTGGAGATATTCTATGGCTTACTGTCTAAAGTAATTGCGTCATTAATGTGTTTACAACAAAACAAGGCGTTAATTGAGCAATTCAAAGCAATTACCGGCGCCCCACTATTATTATGGCTCAAGGGAAGAGTGTTTTACCAAAAAATTATTACGTTCACTCACCTTGGAGGGACTTCATCCGGTGTCACAAAAAGCCACTTTGGGGCTATTTATGTCATTATGATTGATTAAATGTCTCCTGCAGTCGATTGGCGTTTGCAAAACAGCGTCCCCATCTAATCTTGATGTAACTTTCGGGGCTACATCCCATTGCTTTGTCAAACCTGCCTTCATATACATATATATACCGTCTCTTTATGTCTACCTAGGTTTCTGCAGCCAAATGGTATCGTTAGCTCTCACACAGTAGACGCGGCTTACTGCGCAGGTGTGCACGTTTAGTCAGTTATCGTATGGTAGTACCCTGTCAGCAATTCTGTGGCCGGTCGCAAATATTTGGGCATAGTAGGTGGTCATCACTGAACGCCGTTTTGGTTTTCTTGTAGGAGTCATGTCTGCAGTCTGAGGGACTTTTCTTTCTTTCATCTGCTGGCCGTGACATTGGTCTTGGGGCTTGATTTTCAACCAGTGGGTCGTAGGTTTGGTTCCTGGTCCATCCAGTTAGGTTTGAGTTCCCATGTAGTATCATTAGCCTTAGCCGCAGATGTGGTTTGTCGCCTAATAGAAAAGCGTGTACACGATTGCTGATCTGTAATTCGTTCATTCATTTTTGCACAATTTACGATCAAGGATAGTCATGTTGGGCTAGCGTCTGTTAGTGCATTACTACCCCCTAAATATGGTTCAGGAAAGCGTGCAGCTCTGACTCAAAAATACATCAGATGTGACTCAAAATTGAAGTTAGTTTTAATTACGTCATTGACAGGTAAAACGAAAGTAATGAAAGATTTTTTCTTTGTCATCCTTTTCTCCTTCCACATTAGATTTGTTTATTTGATTTATCAGACAGGCATACAGTATTATATACATATCATATTGACATGATTACGAGCAATAATTTATGATTGAAACGTCATCAAGTAAATAATGTACCACTTTGTGCTGTGTCAAATGAACGAACCTAATACGGAACTGCATTCTACCAGTGCCTAAGTTTTGCACTTATATCAACCCTATTCTCCTTTTGTGTTGCCATGACATTATTTTTGGTGTATTAATATTTGCATTTTTGGTTCAAGAGTGACACTTCTGTCCTTTCGTAATAATGGGAATTGAAGTTATATCTCGAAAAAGTTACCTGTAGTCAAATAAGTGGCTGCAATTCATTAAGCTTCCAGCTGTTTGTGCAAGCCATATGTGTTGTGAGCCATGGATGGTATCTTCAGGATAGTTTAAATATTGTGATGTCTAAAAAATTCACGTAATTATGCGTTAACTTAAATCTCACCATTTTCATATTCTAATAACACAGTGGAGCTATGGCTCAGTGGTTTAGGAAGATGACAACGAGTAGGTCACGGGCTTGAACCCCGCTTCACCTACTGAAGTTTGGGCAGCCAAGTAGTATCACTAGCCCTCACAATATGTGTGGCTCATCGCCTACTGCAAGGATGTGCACAAGGTTGCTGAGTGCTTTTCGTTCGTTTTTTAGCTAACACTAAACCTCAGTTTATGAAATGCTTACTGATGCCAGGAAAGGTATTCTTTTAGTTGATAACAAAGAGCACTCAGCTGCCTTGTGCACATCCTAGTAAGCAATAAGCCACGCCTGTGTGAGGGCTAGTGGTACTACGTAGTTGCCCAGACCTCGGTAGGGGGTCGGGTGGGGTTCGAACCCGTGGCCCAGTGGTTGATAGTCATCTCCTTATACCACTGAGCCACAGCTCCATTTCGTTTTGGTGAGTATTCAGCTTTCTAGCATTTTGTAGCAAATGTGAGCACTTATAGTTGCCTGTAAACTCCTACACAGATGCATTTCTCACTATCTATGTGAATAATATTAATGGTGATAAGTGTAATTTAATAACTAGGTTCAGGTTCATATGGTAGGCTATAACAGAAACTTGTGTCACTGCAGATGGATATCAACTACGTCTATGAACTCTGGTAGACTAAACGCTGCTCTAACATCTGACTTGGGTTAAGTTAAGCACTCATATTATTGAGCCAATCACTCGCCCTGCACCCTAACGCGAAGACCGCTGTTTAATTGCAATAATTTCTCATATTTTCATGTAGCTTCTGGAATGGGAATCTTTCAGGAGTTTTCTGTGTAATATCTGTAAATCTCATGCACTTAATTCCATAATAGATAACTTCATTCAGTGAATGATCTTCACCACATCTAAGTACGCTCTGCCTCACCTCAAAATTAATTAAACTGTCTTTTCACCGGACACTAGTAGGCCTAAAGAAACGACGATGACCGAATACAGAGCCATTGCACATACTCGGCTCAGAGACATCAGGTTGCACAGGCGAAGAACAAAACTGACCCCACACAGAAGCTGTATTCAAAACCTTTTACAAAAAGCTTAACATCATGATAGCGTCAAACGTGACCCATATTGGTGTATACGGTTGGAAATCTTATCAACCAAACCTCCATCAGTACTCACACAACTACCCTAGGGACAACTCTCAACGAGCCACCGCCAAGAAAGAGTTCAGGTACAGCTCTTCTCAATCTTGTAGAAGAAATTTGCATTGTTATGGTGCAAAGTACATACCATACTTATGGAAACTGATTGCCAAATTATCGAGTGTGATTTGAGTAACCTGTATGTTGTGGAACAGTGAGACGATATTGTCCGCACACATGAAGGTGAAAAGTCTTTCACCTGGTAAGTAGTCTACACCACCATCACTCACCTTTGCGGCTTTCTCAAGAATGTTATCGATGGTGAAGTTAAAGAGGAATGGCGAAATTGGGCAACCATATCTTACTCCACTATTAGTTTAAAGCACTGAAGGGAGATGATTGTGTGCCTTTACCATACTTAAGGTGGTGAAATAAAGTCCGCTTTCGTTAACAAATTCAGTTTGCAGGGAGATACAAATACTCATGTGATATCTTTGGAGGTTTAGATTATTCAGAGGTGTTTTGTAAAATTGCGTGGGTGACAACAGTAAGCGTTAAAGAAACAGCTCATCTATGTTAAGATGCAGGTGGTTGACACTAATTTTATTCCCTTCCTGAAGGTTGCATTTTGATCGAGAATCTTTCAGACATGATAATCAAAAAGACGTCTTATTAGTATCTCTGTAAATGTAATTGCAATAGTTTTTTCTCTGATTAAGATTCTCTCGTGACACAAAATTATCCACACTTAAGCGTAGATTTCGTTGATTTTATGTATACAGTATATGATATAGTATCTATCATAGAGTGAATAATTCTTTCGGGAGAGTGTAAATACGCTACTTTCATTTTGAATTCCTTCAGCTTACTCCTTGTTTGAACAATGAAATAGTATTTATTTCATCCACGTGTACGTTATAATATACAAAATAAAAATGGGGAATTTTTGCACATGTTGTGCTTGGAAGTCTCATGATAAACCGATGGGTGAAGCAAATGCTATTAACTATGGAGCTGCTGTTCCTAATCATGTCGGTCATATGGGAAAGTCACAAACAAGTTACCAGTCTGAATATATCAAAGACGCTTTGTCTGGTTACCGTCCCTTATCCAGTGACCCGTCACATTTGAATAATTCTCACCCTTATCGTATGGATAACCGTATTTCGAGGTTAGGGCACAATGGAAATGCTGCATCAGGTGATATGCATGGGATCAGAGATTTTCCTTATCGAGCTCAAGGAGACTTTGGTATGAGCACCGAACCTTCTGATTTTATGCTTTCTTCAATATACACCCAATCAAGTACCTCAAACTTACAACACATTTCTGAGAGAGAACCTGATGGTAAGTATTTTAATCCACACTGAGTCTTCCTGGTTAAATGAACATTAAACGTCCAATAATCTTTTTTCTATGAAAGTCATATATATATATCATTTAGTTCAATCCGGTAAATCTTAAGGTATTAGGTTACGAGCCAAAATTGTTGTTAGGGTTTATTAGACTACTAGAGTAACTAGAGGGGAGATCCATAGCTAGAAAGTAGAGTTCCTAAGCCACTGAGCCACATCATATGTTAAAGTCAAAACCAAACTAATTAATATCTCCATTTCTTTTTTATTGGTTGAAGAGTTCATTTAGATTCACTGTTGATATCTTTAGGCTATGCAAACGAAGTACTCTTGTAGGACAAGCTTTCTATTATAAATACGAACTTTTTTACTATTTAGCAGGTCAATGAAGGTTTATTAATTATTTTTATTGACCTAGTTACCGGTCTCTTTCGTTATAACTGTGTAATTAGTACATTAGGGATGAAGCGAATCTAGCAAAGTAAGTGTGAAAGGTGAATCATTACTTTACTTTCCAACTGCTTTGGCTATGGTTCATTGATGTAGGCACTCAGCTTCCAACCAATGGGCCATAGGTTTCAAATTGCTCTCTATCTGTTGAGGTTTAGGCAGCCAGGTGATATCGTTTGCCTCATACAATAGTCATGACTCATTGCCTACTGCACGTGGTTACCGAATTCATTTTGATTTTTCCGTCACTGTAAAAATTGTTTGCTGAGTGAAAATTACGTTGGAATTTTTTTATGTCAACTCGCAAAATGTTTTTTCGTAATATGTTCAGCAGGGATTGCATGAGCGAAATACACCTTAGACAATAAATTATACAATATCAAATATATTTCAAGGTATGAGAGGCTTCATTGATTTCATCAACATACTCTTATTGGAATACTGACGGATCTCCTAGTGTTGATGATGAGTCAGCCACTAAATAAATAATATAACTTACCTTCGATTTGTTCCTTTCTTGGAATGGGTGACAAATTATCACTGAAGTGTGCAGACTTCGATTTCTTGTTCTTATTTGAACTTCATTTTTTGAGTGGTTTTTCATCATGAACTGACATCAGTTGGAGAACATGTAAATATCTGTGAAGATCAGATATACTTCACCGTGATCTCATCATCTTTCACAGTGCCAGATCGGTAGTTGCTACATTAATTGGTGGTCGGGCTTGCATATCACAATGACTCGAGGTACAATATCTGGAAGACTTGTTCTCTGACATCTCATCACGCCAGAAAAATCTATTAGATAGCAGTGGGACAGGAAGCAGTTTTTCCTTATAGTGTAAATTACTACGCTATGAAGGGGATCCAATGTTGAGATCATACTGTTGGCTGGACGAAGTGTGACAACAGTAGGGCGTTCCCTGCAGATGACCAGCAGCAACATGCTGATGCTGTCCCTTCCCTGTAAAAGAATGGGTTGGGAAAGATCGGTCCCTGAAAAAGACACTCCTTCCTGGGTCATGGTATTCTGGTGTCGACTTTTGTTGGCTTTCATTGTTTGTCTGTAACACAATCGAATCTCAGTCCTAAACTTCAAAAGCTATATGTGACCTGCCTCAAACAGATGTCCCATGGATTCTGTGGTCTGGCTAAACTTATCCACTTCATCTGGCATGATATTAAAGTCTGCTGTAGAAACATCGGTACAGACAGTTGGTAGCCTACACTTCATCCGAAATGATTGATGCTGGAAGATTGACTCTAGTAAGCTCTGACCACAATGAAGAGCAAAGGCAACTTATACGTAAATTGACGAAGAATCTTCACAATAATCACGAGCAGTGGTAGATGGCGAAAACGATAGAGATAGAGAAATCATCAACGTTGTGTAACACTCAGCAATTATCCAGGCTAATTAAGGATACCGAAAAAGGAGGACACGATGGTTAGTGAAACCATTACTGAAAAGAATGTGATACTGATACCCTCCCAGGACGGGTGGCTAGAACGTTGGGCAGAACACTTCGAAGTGCAGTCCAAATGGCTCTCAGCAGCACTTCAGTTGCCCAACATCCAGCTTGAACCTAAGTAGCACGTAGATATCGGTCCTCCAACTCTCCTCGAAGTTGAGAAAGCTGTTTCGAACGTAAAATGGAGTAAATCAGCGGGACCTGGTGTTTGCCACTGGAAAATTTCAAGTATTGAGGTAGGAAATTACTGAGTAGATTAATGAAGGTCGTCGCTAGTGTGTGGGAATAAGAGGTAGTGCCGTCAGGCTGGTCTACACTGATCAGTCCACTGTATAGGAAAGGAGAGAAGTGACAACTCTAGAGGAATCTGTCTAACATCCTTCGAAGATCCTAATGTCCGTAGTCATCTGACGTCTAACTGGAACTCAAAGACAGTAGTCAGGTTTCAGACCTGGTTAATGGTGTATTAATCAGATTTTCAGCCCGCGTCACATTCTGCAACATGGGCATACCAATGGGTGACAAATACTTGCCATATTTCCTGGTGTGAAGACGGCATTCTAATCTGTCTACCGTTAATTGCTGTGACGATGTGTGACTGTGAAGGGAATTCCGAGCAAGTATGTAATGCTAATCAGAGATGTCTATTAAAACTCACACAGTCATATAAAGGCTTGTGGCGAGTTGTCATCTAAATTGAGGATACCCATTGGTGTGTGCCAGGGATGTTCATTGTCACCGTTCCTATTTAAATTCATTAAAGATGTACTGATGGACATAACTTACGGTAAGTTTGGCTTCTCTGAGATTGAGGTACTCCCTGGAGGTCATCTGGTTGACTTGACGTATGCAGACGACATTGTTCCGTTGGGCGAAGACACTGACAAGATACATGCACTTGTGAATTCCTTGAGCATAAATCTGTGTGTGCTTGGCATGCGTTTGGCATCGGTCAGATGTAACATAATGCTGCAAGACTGGTTCGCACCTACTCGGAGTTTAAGGATAGGTGGTAGAATGATAGAGTATGTTGACCACTTCACTTTCCTAAGGAGTTGCATCAAGCGGAATAGGTTAGTTGCTGACGTAATCTGAGCTTGAATGAAGAAGTTTGGTTTGAAATTTGCTAACTTACGTCATCTGTGGTGCCGACTGGCAAGATATCCGCCTACCTATCAAAGGACGAGTATCCTGCAATGCAGTCCATTTTGTCCGGTTATGCAGCTGTGGGACATAGCAGGTGAAGATAGAAGAAATGAAACAGTTACAGGGTTTCAACCGTAGGTGTCTTCGTAGCATTGTCGAGGTGTTGTGGAATCACCATGTGAGCAATGTTGAGGTTAGACAAAGGGTACTAGACAAGACAGGCAAGTCGATTGATGAGGTTGCTAATTCCCATGAACTGAGGTGGCTTCAACATGTACTGCACATATCGAGCAACCACCTACCTCAACGTGACATTATTGTAAGGGAAGCTGGATTAAGGTGGACCAGGGTGGTGGTTTAGGGTGACCAGACCATGAAGTCCCTGACTGTTAGTCTGGGCCGTGTGAGGAGAGGTGGACTACCTGGTTGGGGTCCCCAAGACGAAAGGAATCAGTAGTTGAGAACTGTTGATGATATGGTTGGAAATCGGTCACAATGGAGGAGGTGTGTTCACTCCTTGACGTCTTCTAAGGCTTGAATATTTACACTGGCCGTTATCTTCAAGTTATTTGTTCCCTCAAATAACTTTATTTACTTTGATATTCTTTCTACCCACTTATTATTTGTATACTGCTGTGAAGTGTGGAAAAATGAACCGATTCACCTGTGTGCAAGGTTCTACGTTGATTCTATCTGTCTGTCGGGATCCAATGGTCTGCATTTTCCGGCTCCTGTCTTTTTGCGATGTAGCGCACTTCTGAAGAATCCCACCCATACTAAGAGAGAACAGCTGTTTAGTGCTGTCAGGTTTTTAATGGTTCTTCAAGTGGTCAGTCCAGAATGAATACGAACTTAAATTTTGATGATTTGTTGCATAACAATTACCAGTTTTGCTGATTGTTTTCCGCCACTGACTCTTGTGGAACACTTGAGCTTGTAAGTTAATTGTTGTTTGTTAATCGGTTGCATTTGATGTAGCCCTGAGTACTGATCTTATCCTATCAATCAAGCGCACTATCCAATGGGCAGCATCTAGTCTATTGAGGGGTAGGATTCTGCCTCGCTACCCAAACCTCCGTAGGTGGAGTGGGGTTTAAACCCATGACCCGCTGGTTGGAAGTCAAGTCCTTACATCAATAAGGTACAGCCATCAAGTAATATGGTATGCTCACGAAGCTAATTAACTTGATGCAGTTTCATATAAGGTTGGTTAGCATCTGACAACTAATCTTTTTGCATAATTCAGCTGTATGAGAATTGAATAGATCAGTTGTCATGTTTGCGATCGCAACACCATGTGATATTGTTTTCACTCATACATAATATCAGTTTAGTTACTTTCAAAAATATGCGTTTATGGTATATGTCAATAAAAATGAAATTTAGTTTCAAGGGCTTGTACTTGTCAAGGTTAACATTTATGTTTCTACTAATTTATAGCCTATAAAATGTTAAATTTTCTACATAGATTGTTCCTTGATGATACTTTTTTTCAGATGCTGAAGCTGACCCATCTTTAAATCCAACCAAAAGAACACTGTTCATGCAACGTTCAAGTAAAGATATTGAGAAAAGTATGTCATTACTGGCATTGTAGAATTATATCAAATGTATGATTATTGTTTACAAGTTTGAGTGGCAGATTGCTTCATTATCCTCTAGGGTCCAATATCAGTAGAAAAGTGAAAGTTAATCATAATATTTTTGTATATATTCTGATAGTCTTTTCCTACATCTATTCAGATATAACTTTAAAATACAATATGATGAATGTCTGACGAAAGTTTAATGATTATTGAGAGCCTTAGACCTTGCCATTTTGCTGTCAAAAATCTTTTGTCATTTAGTGTGAAACACTTATGTGTAAGATCTTACTTTTGTTTTTCTGTCTATCTTGACAAGATTTCGAAATTATGTTTAGTGAAATAGTAAATTCTTTAGGTTATTATTCCTGTCACAGTTTTTACTATGTTGTTCGGTGGAATATTAGCAGAGACCTCAAAACTGTCTGAGATTGACAGTATAAGCAGTCATGGAACAAATTCTAGTCATTTTAGTTGTTACTGTTTGTCAACCTCACCAACTGACATACAGAACATTTAGAATGAGCCCATGATAACGAAACTGACTTACAAGTATTCTGCGGATACATTTTAGAATTTTATTGATTTCTAAAGATTGACTTATTTGTTTACATCCGTCTTGAAATTGAAGACATTAGTAGTTAGGAAGTAATTTTATTGGTATGTCAAAGCAGTTGATGTCATTCTAATCGTATATTATTTACTTTTGCCTTGACCTCAGTCAATCATTTTGGTGCAAATGGTCGTTAACAAACTGTTTATACTTTACAGAAGGTATTCTACCTACATCAATTTTGTTGTATGAACATAAAGAGATGTCTATGGTTTAGTGAAAGTTTATGGCTTCCCGTAAATATCCGAATAAACTGCATTATTCTGTTCATTGTTGAATGTAGAAACCTTTCGAGAGAAACTTTAAAAAATCATTGGCAAGATGTAGAACGCAAAATTATCACCTTTACCCATAATACGAAATCATGGAAGGAACGTAATTTTTTCTAAAGGTTGAATCCCTTCAAATATTTTACTTCAAATGGTTTATATTCATTCATTTTTTGTGTCACGAGGATGCCAAGTTTTACTGCTTTTTGAATGGTTCTATCACGATTAAAGATCAATGTATCGCTTAATTCATCGTTTAGTTATCAGTTTGTGTAAGAGACGTGCATTTTTAATGCATGGCTAAATTACGCTTCGATCAGGTATTCTTAACCCATCCGTTATGTAACCCGCATTTGTGCTAATTAGTTCGTTCATTTTACTTGGCTGAATATTCCAGAAATCGATTAGGTCTTCAGGGTAGCATTTGTTTTGTATGAATATTTATCCATAAATTTTCACATTTTCATGAAAATCTGAATGTGAACTGTGCATCATACTGAGATGGAGAAAACTCGTGAGTCGACCAATTCACCAATGTGAATTCTATTGTACATATTGAGCAGTAAAAAGGCTGTTCGTATTACCTGCTCTTTGGTACTTCTTGCCAAAAGAAGGAGCCTAATAAAGAACCTGTCATCGAAAAATAGTTACTTGAGTAAAGTCCCTTTAGTGTTTACGCTAACCTGATAAAAGCTATCTACCATAGTATAAGGGTACAGAAAGTAAAAAAAAAAAAGCTGGATTCTGACGAAAATTAGGAAGCCCTTTGAGCTGACTTAAGTTTTTTGTCAGTGGATGGTGATAATCTTGAGACTAAGTTGTATGTTGTGGTTTCACACAATCACCACCAACATATTCTTGTATACTAAATAAAAATTGTCGCAGAGTTGTATCATTCAACCCAGTTGTCACAATTTCTTTCCTGATTCATATTACCTAGTCAACAGTGATCTTAGTTTTTAATACAGAAGTCGATTCAAAGACACATTTCACCTCTACTGTGTGTCAGATGTAGTTCAAATAATCTCCTCCCTAGATTTTGAGCATTGGTCTTTTCAAGCAAACGCTCATATATCTCAATGCAACCTAGTAAGTACCAAACAAGGTTTGCACACTAGGTCATGAGTAACATCTGGTGTTTGAGTATTGATAATGGCATATAGAGCTCCCCAAATTTCGATCAGTGAGACGCCAGTTGAAATTATGGCATGTTATTAGAAAGCGGAATACCTAATTAAATAAACTACAACTCTAGGTTTGTAAGACAGATGAAGTAAGTGCAAAACCTTGTTACCTCATTAAAATGTTCATATAGCAATACACAACAGATGTATAGAATAAAATGATGTCATTTTATTTCACAGATACTCACCAGCTACCTACAACTAAAAATTATCACAAAATTGTTCGAATTTTCAACTACACAACATGCTTTGAGACTGACTGACAAAATCAACGTAGAACCTCGCATAAAAGTGGATCGACTCAAGTTGCCACTCTTTACAGTAGGACACAAAGAATAAGTGTATAGAAAAAGAGTGATATCAAAGTAGATAAATTTGTGTGAGAAGATAAACAGTCTGAAGATAAAGGTTAGTACGAATATCCAAGCTAAAGACGTCAGTGAGTGAATACATCTGCTCCATTGTGACCGATTTTCAGCCATATCTTCAAGAGTCCTCAACCACTAATTCCTTTTGCCTCGGGGACCCCAACCAGGCAGTTTACATCGCTCCGTACTACTCGTCCCAACAGTAAGGGACTTTGAAAAGAAAGAGAGAGAAATTGTCTCAAAAATTGGCGATAACTGTAGGAGAATTCAGAGAGACGAGAAGGAACAGAAATTACATATTTTAGTTGAGGTGACTTGTAATTTGTGTATAACTAAATTGATAACTCAAACAAACAAATATTCAAAGGAGAGGATTTACTAAACAACTGAGAAACTAAGTAAGTCTGCAAATAATCAGTAAACATAGAAATAAATGGGGTCAAAGCTTATTAGATAGAAAGGAAGACGTGATTTAATCAAAATAATGAATTTCCAGGATAAGAGGAGACATGTCAAAGTCTATTTTTACATACAAACACCAGGTTTAAAATGTCTGATTGCTAATTTCGTATTGAAGTTATTGTTGATGATGTCGTCTAGTGAGACAATGAAAGCTCTATGATTAAACAATCCAGCTCAGAGAAAACAATACGACTAAGGTATTACTATTTACTAAATTCACATAAGGCGAATGTACCCGAAAAGATGTTTAGATAATTGGCGATCGTTTTTGTTTATGAAATACGTTGTGAACCGGTTCAAATATGCATTTCATTTTTACTTCCTGTCGCATCCTTTTTTATTATTTTAATATACATCTATATTTTTATATGGCTTGGTGCTATAAATTCAGCTGATGCAATTTAATGCTAGGTTTTACGGCTTTTTAATCTTTCTGACTAAAAAGCTAAACAGTGTAACTATTTTTGACTAAGAGTTTCCCAGTCATTCAATATTGGTTCATTTTTCATTGGACGAAACTCTTAATTACTTTTATTCCATGTTAATCTGAAAGTACTGTGTACTTACACACTTTCAAATGGATAAAAATGCATTGGAATGACGTTCACTGGTCTAGTTATTTTCTACCAATAGTGTATTAATAATCACAAGCTTTAACAAGTAGAAAATGTGAGAATGCAGTTCAGTTGAGTAGGTTATGTCGTGAGTAATTCTTGCTACTTTGTGTATTTGACGTAATTAGCTGAAAAAGAGAATACTTTGGCTTCAAAAAGCTCTGTTTATTTTATTGCATTATATTGAAGAAAATCAGTTATAATGAACAGCTTAAATTGTCCTAGATAAAACTAAATTATAATTATCGGTAAGTATTCTAAGATAAATCACTGTGTCTGTATGGAAGCAAATGAAAGGGCAGCGATACATGCATTAGTTACTTGTTAGTCTTCGTATTTTTCTCGACTGACTATTATTTGGGGGTCATATTTTTATTATTTTACGCTAATATGGTTCAGTCATTTAAGCAGTTTTACTCCTAACTATTTGTTCATGATTTCTAGTTTCACTTTACTTATTTCCACCTGTTTAAGGCAGATAGTATAGATAACTATATCTTTAAAAAAGGCTCGGGGCAGCCAGATTAAAACATAGAATCGCTGTATGAAGTCTTTGACTGTTGGTTTGAGCCATGTTGAGAGATGTAGACTAGCTGGTTGGGGTCCACATGACAACAGAAACCAGTGGTTGAAGACTCCAGGCGATATGGCTCAGAATTGACGTCAGTGGCTCATATTTACCTATACTTTATCTTCACACTAACCGCCATACTGAATTCAGCATTATATCATTCCTCCTTCCTCTCTTTTACTGCTTTTGACCGATTTTTCTTTCTTCATCTTTCATCTTACTACTTTGTTACTTGTTGTCTTGATATGACTGCTTGGACCGTGGTGCAATAAGGCCTATTCCTATGTTGATATTGATTGATTGATATCTTGAAAAGTTTTTCTCAACCTGAAGCATTTTGTAAATGTCATTAAAATTGTTGGAAGTAACCATTCACTATGCTAAAAAATCTGGAATCTTCTGAATACCTTTGCCTAAACTGTATAAAAAAATAATTTATCTTTATTTTAGGAGTTCGGGAAATTCGAACTAAATACGATCGGAATGTAAGTTCACATTCACTATCTAGAATTTATGCTATTATCCTATAAATATGATTATATTTTTTATAATTACCGTATGGAGATTATTCACTGATCTTTGAATTGATCTCTGAACTGAAATTCCTTTACCTCTTACTAATGGTATTTTTATCGGAATGGATGATTTCAATTGTAGATACCTAGGCGCAGTTTATCGGATGAGCGTCTTTTATGTATTTCAGAGATCATCATACTTATTAATGGTGTTAATGCTGGAGTATTTTTGAATAACTTCATTTTTATATTAAATGACGCTCTAAGGATTAACAATAGTAAGGTCCAAGTGGAAAGAAAAAATCTACTGATCACTAAATGAATAAAATGCAGTTCTTTACATTTTGACCCGATTCTGGGCTATTTAGAATGTTTGTCACGAAAGTGTGCAAGTCTTGCGAGATACTGGCGTGTCCTAGTCACTTCTTGTTTTCTGTGAGTTAATCACTTGAAGATGACTTTTCATTAGGGTATAAAGTTTGAATCTCATACTGTTTACTTTGATTTATGCTGTGGAGTAGCATGCCTGTCTATATATCTGTTACATCTACTTGTAAGTGGTATTTCGATGATGCTATTCACATTGTTTTCTGATATTCTTAGTCAGTTGTAGAAGGTATGGGTGGATTAGAGAATGCTTCATAGTGAGTGAAAAGAAATAATCTGAGTGTACAAAAAGAGTGACATCGCAGTAAACAAAGTTATTTGAGGGAACAAATAACTTGAAGATAACGGCCAGTGTAAATATTCAAGCCTTAGAAGACGTCAAGGAGTGAACACACCTCCTCCATTGTGACCGATTTTCAACCATATCATCAATAGTTCTCAACTACTGATTCCTTTCGTCTTGGGGACCCCAACCAGGTAGTCCACCTCTCCTCACACGGCCCAGACTAACAGTCAGGGACTTCATGGTCTGGTCACCCTAAACCACCACCCTGGTCCACCTTAATCCAGCTTCCCTTACAATAATGTCACGTTGAGGTAGGTGGTTGCTCGATATGTGCAGTACATGTTGAAGCCACCTCAGTTCATGGGAATTAGCAACCTCATCAATCGACTTGCCTGTCTTGTCTAGTACCCTTTGTCTAACCTCAACATTGCTCACATGGTGATTCCACAACACCTCGACAATGCTACGAAGACACCTACGGTTGAAACCCTGTAACTGTTTCATTTCTTCTATCTTCACCTGCTATGTCCCACAGCTGCATAACCGGACAAAATGGACTGCATTGCAGGATACTCGTCCTTTGATAGGTAGGCGGATATCTTGCCAGTCGGCACCACAGATGACGCAAGGTGGCAAATGTCACACGGGCTTTTTGTATCCGTGCTGAGATTTCGTCAGCAACCACCTCGTTTGAGTTTATGCACTTCCCCAAGTAAGTGAAGTGGTCGGGACATTCAATTGTGGTGAGTCACAGTTGCATGTTGGCTAAATATGCTACCTTGTTCTCCAAACTGCAGTAACTGAAGCAGAGTATGAACTCGTGATTCCGTGGTTGAATTTTGATCGTCTGGACAAATAACCCGTAGCTTCATTGCATGGTTACTTGAATTGCCACCAATAACTCGCTTTCAGTGTGCTATTTTCAAGTGTGTCCTGAAAACATGTACATTAATTTAATTATTCGAAGTAGCTTGAGTAAACAAAATGATCAATAAACCAGCTTTTTAATTCATTATACTGACCAGCGTATTTTCAGTTCTGCATCTTTTTGCAGTTTTTTCATGATAATATTTAGTGTTTCCCTATTTTGTTTTACAGGTCCCACGAAATCGTCAAAATACTCTTCCCCTGCTTTATCGGTCCAGTTCTACATCAACTATATGGTTGCATGATTCAACTGTGACTAGACCAGATCCCAAATCCACTGTTCGTGCACTAGCTCAAGCAATTTACTTACAGATAAAACATCGTGACCATAAAAACGCTTGCGATCCTATTATTGAAATATTTGATGAATCTTTGCATCCTATACAGGTCTGTTGTTGACAATCTTCACTAATTTGTAAATAAATTGTGTCCATAGTTGCTATCAACTAAATAATATCAGTTAAAAATCTTCATAAAAGAATATCTCGCACACTTTTAAACCTCTTGAACGGTATATTGCCATATTGTCATTACGTTGGTACTTAGTGATCTACTCACTTCAATCCTGACAAATTTGTGACACGTATTTAGCTTTAAACTTGTTGCAAATTGACAACTACCCAACACTGGCTTCGTGGCTCTAATCTCGGTTCACTGTGTTGCATTTCTATCCGAGGGTCGGTATGGATCAGCAAATATCAGCTAGCACAACTTCTTTTCTTTTCGTGTTCTCATGCCTTAGACTAATAAAACCCTACTTATTTCAGACACTCCAAGTGTAACAAACCAGGGCTGTTGGAATAAAGTACTTGGAAATTTTTTACACCTTCAGAACCTGTGAAATGTCGTTAATTTAAAAAAAATCAGCAACTACACTTAAAGATAAGCCTCTCCATTCCAGTATGAGTAGGATGTTTTTGTTTGATACTGGCAACCCTATATTAACGTTATCAGTTAGTTGGTTGTCAGTTAGCTACTGGAAGTCGTCTTCAGATAAAACTAATTCTAGTCAATTCTAACTTTTAAACTAGCTATTACGTGTAAACTACCTTTTTTCTTTTTTACCTTGTTTCTCCAAATTCATCTGAAATATGTCGTACCATGGTCAATTACTGATATCGCAGGCATATAAAGAACTGCTGCTCCTTTTGAAGAACCTGCGTAGATTCTGTCATACTAAGTGTTGCGCTCATTTTGCGTTTTTTTTATGGGATGCATAGAAGCTGCTTCTTTTACTTGCTATACTCAGAGCATGCTGGAATGTTTTCTTGGACACCGAATAATCTGAGCGAAGTTATCGAGATGCAACTACTTTTTTTTGCGTTTTCTTGAAGATCACTTATCACCTATTTAGCTGTTTTTACAACAAAATTCTGATAAGATTGCCTTGAAATGAGTAACTTTGTCATCCTTCACGGAATTTTTATCAGGTTATTCTTTAAATGTAACGTTGATATCTACTTTCATGTAAAGGTAGACTACTCTCCCATTTGTAAATTTTTGCTTGTTTTAAGGCGTAGAAAAATACTTGGTTGTAGAAAATGATGGTTATGGCCTTGAATTCTGAATGTGTTCACTTGAATAATGTGTATTATCAGTAAATTTTTAATGAGAAGTTTCCGCATTGATAAGTTTTTATTTTGGTAATATTTCGAGCAAAATTACTAGAATGAATACCGTTTAAAAAATTCCTAACTTTAAGTGTGATCACATGCAGTAATTTTACTCGAATTGTTATCAAAATTAAAACTTATCTTTGTGTGTAACTTTTTATTCAAAAAGTTTACGTACAATACATCAATTCATTTCACAATGCGCAAACTTTTCATTGATATATCAATGAAATAACTTTTTACTGAGTTCAGCCTCGCTGATTGGTTTGAAGTCTGTGTGTTTTTTGACATTGTTAATGTTGTATCTTTGCACGATAAAATACAGACTGTGCAAGTCTCACTTCATCAGTTAAAAACTAGTATACACACGAATGATATATGCTTTGCTGCGCTTAAATATAAAGTGCTTTCACAATATTGTGAGAAGCCTATAAATAGCTGTTCGTTATTAACTGTCGAAACATTCTTATATCTCTCAGTACTAGCGTAAATGCTGGTGGAAGTTTGACAAAAGAGATCAGCCGTTGTGTAACGAAAACCAAAACATCAATGTGGATCATAACTGGCACCGACTTAGTGCTAGTCTTACTGGGTTTACCACACTACCGTGCTTTTAACTCTGTGCTTCACTTTTGAAACCGGTGAGCTTTGAGCTGAGGCTGCTCTTCATCTTGTTGTCGATCACCGCTGTCTTCATAGCATTAGTCATAGTCACTGGTAGTACTGTTTTAGTAATTCTGAGGATCTTGAATGCGCTTTTATATCTTGCAAGTTTGTGTTACTTGAGATGTATTTTGATATCTAGTAAAATGGTTCTTGGTTCTGTCAGTACTGTTGGTAGGACTTTTTCAGTTTTGTCATTGTTATTGAATTTGATTATTTTTCAATGTCCCTACGTTTAATGTGGTGCATTTTCGGTGTCATACTGTGCCAAGTAAATCTGAATTTTAAATAAGTAAACATTCCATTTAGTTGAAGAGGGATTGTTCGTTTTTTTCATTGTAGTTACATTCTGTAGAAATGGTAGTACAAATAAAAAAAGACGTTCATTATCTAGCTCTTAGATTGTCTATCTGTTGTCCGCTGGTTTGTGTCTGGCTTTTACTTATTTTCAACTGGATGCCTACAATATATCATAAATTCATACAAAAACCTGAATGTTACTCCTAGGTTATTACACACATCTAGTCATAGTTGCTGAGGTATCAAACAATGTAACTGAACTTTTCAACCTAGTTGTACATGTATGACTAATGCGAAAAATACAATCAGAGGACATTTCTTCAGCTCTAGTACAGAGTCCAACATTGTCACCATCATAACTAAACATTTTCGCCACAGTCTCCTCAGATAAATGCGGCTTTATTTTGAGTGCTACATTTAAGTTATTTAAAACGTAGATAGTACTATCATTCTTTTTCTATCCACTTGTTCTCTCCATGCTGCTATGATCCGTTACGATTTGAACCGATGCAGTTATGTGTGAGGTTCTACGTTAATTTTGTTTCTCTGTGTATCAGCAAGTTTTTAAATGTTTTAACCAACGATAGAAAGCAGAATAACGCCCATTGAATCATATAACTAAAGTTTATGCACTCAGAAGGATAAAGTGTATTGCTTTTCATCTTCAATGCATCTAAGAGCAGTTAGTTTTTGTAAACAATTACAATTCAACATCGATATCCAAATTAGTGTTTCAGCTCATCATCATTGCTATTAACAACACGGGAATATTCAAGTCATGAGAGATAGATCTAAATTAAAAGTGATGCGAGAATAAAAATATAAGTAGCTTATCCAATAAGCAAAATTTGTGCTGTAAGTTAAATGCGGTACTTATGTTTTTGTGCACTGTACTACGCTGTCGGACCCATATGATCTCCACTAGTTATGTTAATGATTTTAATCGGTGAAATATATTCCTATGCATATTTCTTGCTTTACCTCAAGTCGATCTCACGTTTGTAACTTTTTCTTCGTTTAATCAACATTTATACGTTACTCCTAAAATGATTTTTCTTTCGTGTTCATACTTCATCAGCGGCAAATCGCTATCGAAGTGTGTTGGTTTAGAAAGTTTAAAGTTTTTTATTTTGATACTTAGTTAACAAAAACAGAATCTAAATTTGAACAGGTTTATTTCACTTTTTCTTTCTTTAAAAAATCGAAAGTTAAGAAAAACTATACAAATTTTTATATCATTGTGCAGAAACCATCATAGTCTCAGTTTATGACGCAGTTCAGTGTAGTAATTTGCAAATAGGAATTTATCTTTTATGAAGCTTTAGTTCAAATCATGCGATGTTTTATGCTACATGTTACTGAGAAGAAGTGCATGAGGTTGATGAAAAAATAGTAACTCAGCTTTCTATCAATTTGCTCAAGTGGTGTCATCTTTTAGTTAAAATCACTTGTAAAGAATATGATCATTTTACAATATCTATCAGTACTTCATGATGTGTGCTTACCTCACTATCTCAGGTTACTTATTACACACTACCTGATTAGCGGTTTTTAGTTTCTGTGAATTACAATTGAGTGAATGTGTCTTACATGATTTTTATTTACTTAAACTAGAGTCTTCATCATTGTTGAAACTTGTCATTGGTTTCAGCATTTGACTTCGAACCTAATGTGTTAGGAATTTGTACCCAGCCATACCTAGCGAGCCTTGAATATAATTTTTGTACTAATAGCTTTCACACATTAATGGAGTTGTGGCTCCATTGGTTTAGGAATTTGACTTTTAACCAGTGGGTCATGAGTTCGAACACCGCTCCACCTACCGAGGTTTAAGTAACCACGTAGTATCGTTAGCCCTCATAAACTAAGTATGGCTCATATCCTAACGTTTTAAAGCGCCAGAATCAATTATTGTAATTTTCAGGCTCTTGTTTTAGCTGACTATCCTGACATGTAAATATCAGTTAGCAATGGTCCTGGGGGACTTCCCATGATCCTACCATTTATTTGTCGAAAATGTTCTTCAAATGTGAAATGAACTTTATCAGTACACAATAATAGCAATCCAACTGGTGACCTCATCAGTAAAGTTACTCTCTACAAGAAATATGTTGATTAACTAACTATCGTTTGAATTGAATTTTGGAAGAAAATGTTTTCAGTGAGATAAAATGTACATATTTGTGAACTGATTATGCCACTCATTTAATTCGCGATAAACGGTTATTATCAAGCAAGTAAAAGATGATTTTAACTAGTGTTCGTATCATTTTATAAACATTTTCTTTTGAAAGATATTCACTGTGAATAAGTGAAGTTCGTGTGCAAGCAATCATGTAGTCTACTTTCTATCAACATCGTTGGCATAGGGACTTTATTAAGTGTTCAAATAAACCGCTAAGTTAATAGCATACAAACTACTTTCAACTCATAGCTTACGGAAACCACTTCACTCAGTCTCAGGAATATTAGAGAACTCACTGTATTGATGCATTCTTTTCTGAATCGCATTAAAGTAATGGGAACTAGTTGACTATATTTCCTCTTAGCAAATAGATATACTTTACAGTAAGACTTTTCAAACTGACAATGGGTGATGATTAAATGTGGAATGAAAATTTGGGCCGCCCAGGATCCAAATCAGCGGCCACCTAATGGCCGGCCCGGTGCTGTGAGCTATGACACTTGACTGGTAACCAGATTTTATTTCGCTTCAATCACCAAGGGTTTCCCACGACTGCCATATGAATTTGTGACACGCTACTATCGCTTGATTGCGCTCATATTGGCTGCCCTTTTAGGACTTGTCATCTCAGTTCAAATCGAGTTGAATTGAAGAGGGGTAACGTAATATTGATTGTCAGTTTATCCATATAAGATAACTGTAGTTTGGAAGTCTTGTATTGATACTGGGCAAAACCCTTGGTGGTTGAAGCGAAATAAAAATCTAATCAACAGTCGGGTTTCGTAGCTTAGTTGCTAGGGCACTGGGTCGGAAACCCGGCGGTCAATGGTTTGAATTCCGCTGTGGCCCAAATTTTGATTTCACTTTCAATCATCACCCAGTTCCAATGCAAGTCTGCCAAACCACGGCTGTCTCAGATAGTTAAATCAATAATTTTTCAGATTGACCAGTAACATAAGTTGGCTAGTGAAAAAAAACTATCAAGGCGGATGTTGAAATTATCTTTCATTCGTCTACAAATGTCTTTAGTGAACGAGAATTTATTGTCGCCAATCATATTCAGTTTAGATCTTTGAAGCGTAGTAGTACTGATGTGTATTCTAGAAAGCAGTGAGTTTTCCTCGAGAATCTACTATGCTTTCTTTGTTCATATGCTTCGAGATGCTATGCACAAGCTTGTTGTCGTTCGACTACTTTAAATACAAAATGCAAAAGGAAATCGAGTTATACATTCAGTGAGTACATAGAAAATCTCGACATTTCACTGTTTTAGAGGAATAAATATGTACTTTCGACGTAAATCTTAGCGAATCTTCCTCAGTGTCTGTTTAGAAAGCATTCTTTAAACCTGATAGTGTAATAGTCTTAATTTTTTTTGATGTTCTAGTGCAATCACGAAAAGTAGGTTATTTCAAAAGCATTTTGCACTAAATTCTACTAATGTGGTGCCAGACTTCATTCCTTTTTGTTTTCAAGATGTTTGTATGGTGCAGTGATTTATTTAATTCTTATAACAACGGGTCGTTTCTACTTTTTTTCCACTGGTAATCATTGTAACTACAACCCGCCACTTTTCATCTATCGATTTCTCGAGCACTATCCTAACGGTTGTCACAAAGTAATCCCAGGATTTTTGTCTGCCGTTGGTAATTATTCAGTAGGGTTTTTTATTCGCATCTGATAGTTTATTTGAAACGGGATCGTCCATCGAAAAAAAAGATCAGCTTTCATCCTATTTTTAAAGATTACAGAAAAAGTGCTTTTAGCAAAAATCTATTTTACTACCCACGTAATTCCATTGTTGTTGGTTCCCCACTAATATCGATAACCTTTGAATTCTTGGGTAATTTTAGTTTATCTTCACTAGTGAATATATATGTAATATTGACTATTTTTCCCGTTTAGAATGAACCTGTCCCATTTGATTACACTACACGTGATCCAGATCTGAAAACAGTATATCGTTTTATTCGGAATTTGTTTCAAATGGCCCAGCTTTCTCCAGAATGTGCAATAGTTACGATGGTATGTTGAAATCTCGAAATCATTCTTGAATAATTTGAATCATTGCCTGATATAACTATTCATGATTTCGTATCCGAACTAATCCTAATTGGTGGCTGCTATCTTAACTTGATGATCAGGCTTACTGATAGCAATGACCCAGTGAGATGAGCTGACGGGGATAGTTGTTTCTTGATATTTGATGGGTAACGGTGAGACAAAAAGCCTAGTGTAAATATAAGCAGCGTAATGGGAGGACGAAAGTTATCTGAAACTAAGCGATGTATTAGCGCTATGCATTTCGAACAATCTGATCACACACGGACTTGTCGAAATATTTATATGAAAATTTACGAAAAGGGTGAATTAAGTCAATAAGAAACACGAGAAACACAGAAAGGACAGAAAAAAACAGCAAAATCTAAATCGTGTCACTCCTTGTATGCAAATTGAAATCAATACTACTGGGTGATGATTGAAGGTGAGGTGAAAATTTGGATCGAGGCCGGATTCGAACCAGCGACCACCGGGTTTCTGGCCCGATGCTCTACCAACTGAACTATGAGGTCCACAATTTGGCATCTAGGAGGTATTTACGGAATCCCACGCCAACGAACCGACAATAGTGATCTTTCGTTGCAGTTTTGTTCCAGTAGCCACTAGTTTTCGGCCAGCACTAACTTTATGCATAAGGAGAGGCGCTATCTCACACGGTGTCCACCAATATCAAACCAACGATGGACGCAGATAGATCACATTACTATAAGCCATCGTCGGAGGGGATCGGTGGAGGATTGTTGGTGTCTCTGCAGTATCTGCGTGGACTGTGGTAATGTGTTTTTGCAGATACGTGTATGTCTGCGCCCTACTGGTCGCAATAAAATCGGTTGCAGCAAAGCCTGTGTCTGTTGTATTAGAAGATGAGAACGTCAAGTGTGTATTTCGAAAGAAGATATCTACTCATTCTCCTGAACGTGCCAGCAGTCTACTGAGTAACGTGATGTGTTTGATAATGAATTGTTTTCGTTGTAAACTTAAATAACTGTGTGAAACAGTGGATCATTGATGTTTGAATTTTCTGTGGTAATGTAACATTTGTGTTTTCTTCATCGTCCCATGGTTTTCATAAGTACTGATACTTATTTTGCGTTCATTTGTATTCACACTTGTGGTCAGACAGACAGATTCAACTTAGAACCTCGCATACAAATGCATCAGTTCAAGTTGCCACACTTCACAGTAGTATACAAAGAACAAGTGGATAGAATAAAAGTTATACCAAAGTAGACGAAGTTGTTTGAGAGAACAAACAGTTTGAAGATAAAGGATAGTGCAAATATTCAAGTTTTCGAAGAAGTTAAAGAGAATAGATATGCTCCATTGTGACTGATTTTCAGCCTTGTCATAAAGAGTCAGTCCTCAACCACTCATTCCTTTTGTTTCAGGACCTCAACCAGGTAGTCTACAACTCCTTACACAACTCAGACCAACGATCAAGGACTCCGTGAACTGGTGCAAGGTCTTACTCTGGTCACCCTGAACCCTCTTCCAACTTAATTCAACTTCCCCTAGCATGGAACACTTGTAATATGTCTAAAGTTGTCGTTTTGTTATTGAATTCGACATAGCTTAAAAAAGGTAATTAGAAAAGTGAAAACGTTTGATATCTGGTGGTTTCAGATGTCGAGATGTTTTGTCTCTTCACATGATTCCAGGACTCTCGCTCTATATATATGATGATGGTTCTTAAAATCAGGTTGATCATCAATGGTTAATACTGTCTTTGAAATCCAACTTCTCCGGGGTTTGATGTCCAAGTGTTTCTACTGTTATTTTGAGGAGTTTTCAATGAAAGCGTCTACCCTGATTCAGTTTTCTTTGTTGAATTTCAACATCAACTTGAAACTTACCTTTAAATACTACCACATATTTTCGAAAGTATAGTTTTGGCACACTGTGATTTTAAGAGTTTGTCTTGATACAGTTGTTTTCGTGAACACTTACCTACTGTTATTCCAGTTTCAAAATGACCTGAGTAAAATGCATTATTCACTTCACTATTTCTTTTTCCATAGGTCTACTTGGAACGTCTTTTGACTAGTGCGGAGACAGAATTGACACCAAGTTGTTGGAAAAGAATAGTTCTTTGTGCTATAGTGTTGGCAAGTAAAGTGTGGGATGATCAAGCTGTTTGGAATGTGGACTACTGTCAAATCCTGAAAGATATGCAAGTAGACGATGTGTAAGTCTTGTAATTAGATGTAATATACTTTTCTACTGATTATTATTGTACACCCTCTTGTTTTTGTTTTCATCTATATGTATGCTATGTGGAATTATGTGAGACATCCATCAGGATACTGTGATTTATAGTTTTATTTTTGTCGAAACTTAGTACCATAACGTATTTACGATGGCGAAAATAAAAACCAGTTTATTCAAACCTACGACCCAATGCATTCAGCTATCCTAATTTATCCCTTCTTTGATGAGTGGCCGTGAATCATTCAGTAACAAGGGCACCTTACACTGTGATGCTGTCACTTAAGTTAATGGCCACATTGTATTCTTAGGCTGACAAAATCACATTTGAAGATCTCTCTCTCTCTCTCTCTCTCTCTCTTATCTATCGCATTTTTTTCCCATCCAGATTCCAGTATCCAGTGTCGACTCACTTAATGTATATGTAAAAAAACAAGGTTCTTTATCCCAAGTCTTGTCGTCAAGTAGGCAGTATGGCATTACTGTTAAACAAACAATCGTATGCCTTTTCAGTACATCTGCAGACTATGGGCGTTTGTATTTAGATCGCCGTAAATACCCAGATGAAATTCACAGAGACATATTTTAAACAAACAAGCACTTTCAAGAACGTGGAGGAATAACCTGCAATTACGGTTGCCTCTAACTAAGGGTGCAGCGTATAATGCAAGTGTAACTATAGTGGGTGGGAAGGAAGGGTTGAAACTCAAAAAGTTAACAAAGATAATCATTTCTTCACTTCAGAGAGTGTCGGAAAATTTTCGAATGACTCATCTATTCATAGTCTACTTCGTTTACCTATTCTTGATTACTTTGAGAGCTTCATTGCTGATTAGATAAATACACTGGCAGATCTATGTAGAACATTCTGCAGAAATACTTCACTTTAGGGGTCACACTTAACAACAGCGTTCAAAGGAAAGGTTGAATAGGAAATGTATAATACTGAAGTAAGAAAAGGTTTCTGGAGAGAAAATAGAGGATACATTAATTAATAAAGGGTATTGGAAATATTCAAGTTTTCGAAGGTTGAAGCGACTGCACTGCTATAATACGATTTCAGATGATGTTACCGTCAATATAGCATCAATCACCACTTGTGAGTTACTGGATATGATAGTTAGCAATGACCTGATCTGAAACGCGATGCCTTTGTTGCATTCTTTTCTTGTACTCTCTTTTCTTTTAATTAGTTTATAGTTCCAATGTAGTAGCGTGTTATCTTACATGCTGAGTTAAATGTTGATTTCTAGATTCGATTAACTTGAAGGTTGAATCAAAAGTTAACATACTACACGAGGTGGTAGGTCGCAGATTTCATTTACTCACCTCTAGTTGTCGATGTACACTAGGTGTGGTGTATTATTTTGTAAAGATGTACGATAAAGGTGTTGTAAAGGTGACTATAATTGGCATTAACTGAGTTATTTTAGTAGTAAAATAAGAAATTTGATAGGTGAAATCCGTTCATTCTAGTACGAAGTCAAATTAAATTATACATCAACAGTTAGTTTATTGATACGAAATGTGATTTTTCACAAATCAATGGGTATTCTTATCGTCACTGAATTTTAATTTCACCGCAATTTTATGGTTTTGTAATCGATTACGTCCAAGCGTAAACGTCATCCGTCGTCGTATACTGGTTATAATTTCACCTCTTGCTTACTTTGTTGTTGTTATTGCCTTTTTAGGTGAAAACTTTCAGTTTCCGTCAGTGAAAGACAGTTTTGTCTTTCCTAATGTATGTAGCCTACATTTAAATTTATATCTCAGTGATACAGTGAGATAGGGCTGTGAGACATGGTCATTAAAAGTAGAAGACATGAAACAATTGATGGGTTTTGATCATAAGTGCCTTCGTAGCATTGCTTGCATTTGGTGGAATTCCCGTATGAGCGATGTCGAAGTCAGGCGAAGGATACTAGACAAGAAAGGCAAGTCAATTGAAGAGGTTATGAACCTTAATCGAATGGGATAGCTTAGAAATGTACCACGCATGCCGAGCCACCGCCTATCTTGACGTGCCATACTAAGGGAAGTTAGATTAGGTTGGAAGAGGGTTCAGGGTGACCAGAGTAAGACCTTGCACCAGTTCACGGAGTCCTTGATCGTTGGTCTGAGTTGTGTAAGGAGTTGTAGACTACCTGGTTGAGGTCCTGAAACAAAAGGAATGAGTGGTTGAGGACTGACTCTTTATGACAAGGCTGAAAATCAGTCACAATGGAGCATATCTATTCTCTTTAACTTCTTCGAAAACTTGAATATTTGCACTATCCTTTATCTTCAAACTGTTTGTTCTCTCAAACAACTTCGTCTACTTTGGTATAACTTTTATTCTATCCACTTGTTCTTTGTATACTACTGTGAAGTGTGGCAACTTGAACCAATCCACCTGTGTTTGAGTTTCAATGTTGATTTTGTCAGTCAGTCAGTCAATCATATCTCACTCACAATGTATCTCGCATCATTGTTTAGACATGTATCGATAATGATAAAATAAATTTGATTTGGTCTGAAGTTTATCAATATTAAAACATTTTCATTACCTCATTAGATGTGCTAATCATAGAAGTTGATAAGTAGAAGGTCAATCATAGTGATTTACAGTTGTCATTGACCAAATCGCTACTGTTTAAATGGCGATTATCCATCTCGGTTGCGTCACTCGAGCCCATAAACAGTGTAATCTAATTGTCTCATTTCTGGGATCTAAATCCATGTAAGATATATCCGATTACTCTCATTCACAGTCTATTTTACATAATATAACCCTGACAAGCTGTTCTGTCAAACTTTCATAAACGTTCAAGTAAGAATAATTGAACTGTAAAATCAACAAGTTTACTTTGAGAAATAGACCGGTTAAAACGACTCTATAATTTCCATGTTTCTGTTAGTTGGTTTACCCTATTACTTTCTTATCACATAAGATAAAAGAGAATTCTGGGGAGAAACGTTACGTTTTTGTTTTTATGGACTATGACTTGCAGTATTTTACCATCCTTCTGACTATTTATCCGCAGAGTGTAGTATTTTGGTAGTAATTTCATTCCAATGAAGTTGGATATGACTTAGAATCCGGTCGATGATAACACTGAAACCAACGAGTTTCCCATGAACACCCGTCATTGAAACCCTTATTGTTTTTTCATAGCTTGAAGTTGCCACTTTTACCACAGATAAACACGTATATATCAATTTAGAGTATTTCACAAAAATGTTGACAAAAGTTGTCAAATAGATTTTGCGACATTATGAGATAAAGATTCAACAGAAATAAAAGATATTTATTATTATTATTATTATTATTATTATTATTATTATTATTATTATTATTATTAGTAGTAGTAGTAGTAGTAGTAGTAGTAGTAGTAGTAGTAGTAGTAGTAGTAGTAATATTATTTGTCCCTTGGGTTCCTAATGGAACATAGGGCTTCACTAGCACGTCTCCAATGCGCTCTGTTCTCTGAAATCTTTCGAACCTGGCTCCACAACAGCCCACAAGCTCTCATTTCCTCCTCGCACGATATCCTCCATGTCACCCTCACCTCGGACGCCCAACCCGTCGCTTCCCATCGGAGTTCCACTGGAGAGCCTGCCTGGCCTGACGCGTGATTTCCCCAATCGGCCTTCTCAGTGTATGCCCAATCCCAATCCATCTCTACTTGCTTCTGCATATTTGTTGAGCGATAGCTTCTAGGTTGGTTCGTCACCAGCCAGCCAGAGTTCCTTGTTGCTTATTCTTCTTATTCTGGCCATCTGATCTTCAGTAGGGAGCCAGCGTAAGCGGCAGTTGTTGATGAATGTCTGTAGTTTGTTGGAAATGCCTTTCGTGACGCGTTAAGTCTGTGGGCCATACAGAAGGACTGGTTTGACGTTTGTGTTGAAAATCCGTATCTTGCTCCACATGCTGAGTGCAGTGCAGTAGATCTCCACACTGGTTTCAGGCTAATGAACGCCTATCTTGCTTTTCCGATTCTGACTTTGACATCCTCGTGAGTGCCGCCTGTAGTTGAAACAGTGCTTCCTAGATAGGTGAAGGAGGTTACTTCCTTTAAGTTTAAGTCATCGGCGAAATCCAAGTCTTCTAGGTTCTCTTCCGTGGTCCAGCCAGCGTATCCCCCTCTTCTCGCTCCCCACTGTTTGTTGCATGATCCAGTTTAGTCGACCACAATCAAGAATATCATGGGTGATAATGTGATACCTTCTCATCTCGTTTGCAGTGTGGGCTGCCTTGCTAGGTTCAAACATAGTGGGGACATTCCATGTCCCTATGTTTACTTCCGCTTTCATTGAGAGAAGACACATCGACTAATTGGCTTCCCGAAAGCTTTCACCAACTGGCGTCTTTTCTCCTCTTTAACTCCAGCGAGGAATAATTTTGTTTTTTTTTTTTATATTTTGTTTGTGCTTTGAAGTTTCTTTGGTGGTTAGATTTGTTTTCCGGGATAAGGTAGCTAGCCCAATGGCCAACCTTCCCTCTTTACCCGGGCTTAGGACTGGCTAGTAACTAGTGAAGTAGTTAACCAGGCGAGATAAAGATTCAACAGATATAGAAGAAAGATATTTAAGTGAACAGGGTTGGTTTTAGTGAAGTGCGTGTAAAATAATAAGATATTCCAATTGTTGAGAGATGTAGTGATGGTTCCCAGTTATAATTTTCTAACACCTACCGGACACAAGGAATGTGCATCATTGGCTTAGACACTCGACTTTCAACCAGTGGGTCACAGTTTCAAATCTTTCTGCTAACAGAGGTCTAGACAGCCAAGTAGCATTATTATTCCTCACATAATGGTTGTGGTTCTTTTTCGTCCACTATTGAACATGTGGTCACTGAGGGCATTTTGATTTTTTGTTTCGCCGGATGCCATGATATGAACTGTGGCAACTTGGACCATTACGCAGTAATGCCTGGTCCTATGTTGACTTGGATGGATGGACGGATACCATGCAAAACGTTTACACTTCCTTGTT